GGGCCTCCTGGAGCCATCTTGGAGGAGATCGATCAACAAGCGTGGGGGGGGGTAATTATCAGAAGGGGGAAGAACACACAGACACAACGAATCGCCGACTCTCCGAACGATCTTGGAAGGTAGGGGAAGCGGGGGGGCAAGACGAAGATCAAGAAGATAATGGGGCATCCTGGGATCTGTGTGTATTTGATTTGTTTGTCCCTGGGCCCCTTCAGATTGAAGGAGGAGGAGGAGGTGGCGGAGGAGGAGCAGGAGGTGGCGGAGGAGGAGCAGGAGGAGTAGGAGGAGGAGGAGGAGAGGAGGAGGAGGAGGGAGAGGAGGTGGCGGAGGAGGAGGAGGAGTAGGGGAGGAGGAGGAGGAGGGGAGGAGGAGGAGGAGGAGGAGGAGCCCCCCCACGACCTGGGGCTGGCCCTCCTCCGGCCTCTGCGGCTGCTGCAGCACAGGCCCGCCGCCCGCGCGGGGCCATGGGCGGGCAGCACTCCCGGCCCGCCGCAGCGCGGCCCGCCTGTGGCGCGGGGCCTGGCCCCGCCGTCCCCGGGCCAGCCGCGGGCCCGGCCGAGGGCCTGGGCGAGGATTTCGGGGCTCAAGAGACGGGGGTCAGTGCAAACGGGGCTCGGCCAGAGCGCCCGCTCTTGCAGGATCCTGCAGGGCCTCAGGGTCGCACTGGCCCGGGTTCGGGGGCAGGCTCCTGCAGGCTCCTGCAGGATCCTGCAGGGTCAGGGTCGCACTGGCCCGGGTTTGGGTGTAGTATCCTGCAGGATCCCGCAGGATCCTGCAAGGCCTGACTGACTGGGGTCTGGATTGACCCGGGTCAGAAGATCCCTGAACCGAGGGCCTGGGCGAGGAGTCGACACGGTCGCCATCGTCATCGTCATCGTCGTCCTCATCCTCATCCTCATCCTTGTCCTCCCCATGAGATCCCGGCTTTGCTTTCTTTTCACACAACGGGCGTCTTCCCACAGCTTCGGGCCCCGGGACCTTCACATATCGATCTGGTTTAAAGAATGACACAGACAGATGTGGTCCCAGGCTCAGGACGTGATTTTTGTTGCGATGCTGATTTTTTCGCAACGTCGGACCTCAGGGACATTGTCATTTTCATCGTCATCGACATCGCCTCATCTCCATCCTCATCCTCATCCTCATCGCCATCCTCATCCTCATCCTCATCCTCATCCTCATCCTCATCCTCATCCTCATCCTCATCCTCATCCTCATCACCATCGCCAGTGGCCGCCGCGCTTTCAGGCCTTTGCAGGAACAACGGCCTTTCAGCAACGCCCCCCCGCGGAGGCGGAGGGCCGTCGACGGCACCCCGCTCAGCACGCCATGTCGCGCGCATGGTGCTCCAGTGCCCGGGCACCGCGCGCCTGAGGCGCACCAAGGGATGCAGAAGGACGGCCCAAAACGTGATGACCACCAGCCCGCTGCACATGTGTCTGTCGGACCAGCTGCACGAGATTTACTCGCAACCCTCGATGACGTACTCACAGGTCCTGAGCCGATCTCCACCGCCCATGCCGAACGTCCTCGACCCGAACCTAGAGGTTATCATTTTGGACGTCGTGTTCCCGAACCCTCCGCACGTGAATTTCTGCTCGCTGGCGATCGTAGATGTGAAGGGCGGGAATTCGAATTTCACCATGCTCGAGCTGCCAGCTACGAGCGCCAGGGATTACAATTTCAAGCAGCACAGGAATCCAGACAAACCCCAGACCACAACGACTTCTACCGCTGCCAGGACCCAAACACCACTCCGACTTCAGCGTGCGATTCAAGACGAGTTCGCGTCGGCCAAGCCGTCCGCGAACCCAGAGGTGCCCGACGCCCACGCGCCCAGCGCGGCGCCCACGACGGCCAGGACCCCACGCCCCAACACCGCTCCACCAAACCGCTCACCTTCATGGGCTGGAACCCATTCTCCTTCAAGGGCGAGCCTGGCCGCCTGGACCACATCTCTGACACGTGCCGCCACATCCAGGTGCTTATTTTTGTCGGCGCCAAGCTCAGACAACGTACCGCCGACGCCCCACATCACGTTGAGGACTCCATCCGCACGCATGGGTACACTTCGGCGTGGGGCGTGGCGCCCACGCGAACAGCTCGGCGGGGCGCAGCATCGCGATCGCCAAACACCACTTCCGATGCCAGGACATCGTCAATATTCTCCACCCACCTACGGCCGACTTGCGGGGCCGAGCGGGCGCCATCGAACTTCACCGATGTTTACTACGCCTTCGCACCGTGGCCTCTTCCCTACCACCGCGCCTAAGCGGGCCTGGTCACCGCGCCCAAACCAGGGCCTCGGACGCCGCGCGCGACGCCTCCGCAACGACGACGCCGTCGGATGCCACCGGGCCCACGACGAGACCGAGTTCGGCCGCTACGTCCACGACCAGCTGCTCCACCGCGAACTCACCGCCATCAATGCGCACACCGACGTGGGCTACACGTACTACGGCCCGAAACGCCCCCGCTCCCGCATCGACTATTTTATCGGCCACAACACCGTCCTCGAGATCGTCAAGTACGTCCGCCTGAACTGGAAGATCCACAGCCGCCTTCGCGCCCTCCTCCACGCGCCCGACCGCGTTCCGATGCTCCTGCAGATCGAGATACCATTCCACTCCGACTGCCCCACCCAGAGCCCGATCAAATGGGGCCACGGCATCATGTCCGCGTGCTAGCGGACACGCGAGAAGCGCGAAGAGTTCATCCGCGACGTTGCTCACCACATCAACCAGCACCGCGAGCTCTTCCGCGTCGTCAAGATGGGCCAGGTCCCCACCCGCCACAACGCGCTTCTCAACCACATCTTCAGGACCTGTGCAAGCCGCTACTTCGCCAGGGAGGGCCACCAACCACACTGGTATCAGCGGGCTCGACGAGATCGGCTTGAACTGCTCAAGCGCGGCGCCCGCCTGCGAGCTCAACGCTTGCCCTTCAACGACGTCGTCCTCCGCGACATCCAACTCCAGATGCGGAATCACCAACGGTGGATGGACCGCTGGTGGAAGGTGAGCATCGACCAGGATATGCGCGACTCATGGGCCTGCCGCGACCTTGCGCGAGTGGCTCACCTTACCTGCCCGCGCGCGGGTCGCCGCACTGCACCACTGCGACGCTTCTACCTGTCGCTCCCCTCCACGCGCCCCGCCGCTGCCGAGTGCGCCGCCGCGCTCAGGACCAACGCCGCGAGAGGGGGCCTCGCCGCCGCGTCTGCTCACGTCGGCCTCTACCTCGACGACCCCAAGTCCATCGAGCGCCTCCTCGCACGTGGTGACGGCCAACTGGCGCCGGTCGGTGAGATCGCGGGCCCCGCCAGCATCGAGGACATCACGGCAGCGGCCGAGGAGCTGGAGCGCATCCAGAAACGATTGGCAGGCGAAGCGCCGACGCTACAACCCGCCATGGGGTCGGCCGCTGGAAGTCACCATCGTGCTCTTGCACCCGCAGAGCCCTCGCGCGACCAGGCGCGCAGCGCGTGGGACTTGGTCGCGCCGACGCTGACTGCGAGTGCGCCGACCCTCTCGCCCGCCACCCGCGCCAGCCCCGCAGGCGTAAACTCGAGCTCGACTATGACCAGTGCTACGCAATCGCGCAGGCCTTCGTCGCCCTACTTGCCCGCGTTCACCACAGTGGATCTCTCCCAGCTCAGGCCTACACGAGCCAAGCAGTGCTGGTCTCCGTGTCGGACTGCTACAATATGGCGCCGCCCACGCCCCCCCCCCGACTGGGCCTGCGGGGGGGTCCATTCCAGACGCCGTGAGGCCCTCGTGCTGACGGCTGAGCTCTTGCTCTGGAATCTCCGAGCTGCGCGTTTGGCATTCCCGGCCAAATCCTACGACGTGCGCAATGCTTTTGCGACGGGGCAACATGCGTCTCATCGCCGCGCGCGCTGTTCGGTGCGAAGACGATCACTTTCAGCCTTTCCTCGAGCAGCATCGCGAGGAGGCGATGGTGCACCTCCAGGCTTCAGACTCACCCCATGCTCTTCGGCCAGGCGCGGGGGGGGGGATGGGGGATTCAAACGAACCTGAATTATTCGTGGGATCTTTGTGCCCGTTGGTGACCAGATGGAATGAGGACATGGCCGAAGTCCAAGGGGGCCCTTTTCAAGTGCGTAGCGGGCCCCTACTCGACAGGGAGCTACGACGCGCGCATTGGCGCGTTCATCGATGACCTGTGTAAGATCCTGCTTGTGCCCTACGGCGCCTCGCGCCAGGCCCTTCAGTTAGATGCGATCGACAGCCGCTCCCTCTCGCAGGCCCTGGACTTCGGAGGGGGCGCCCAGAACCTAGGTGAGCAGGGCGCCCTGGTCTCTCTGGGCGCGCGCGGGGCCACTCGGGGCGTCGAGCGCAACGTGTCGGGTAACGCGGTCCAGGACTTTACTCGCTTGGGGGGCTACGTCAATGTGGCCAACAATAGCAGTCGTGAAACTGAAGCACAAATGCAATCTGGGAACGTAGGCTGGCCACGTCTTGGAGAGTACTGGTTCTCGGGCGACCCCTGGAAGGCCAAATGACTATCTTTCGAGTCCAACGTCGCGGGGCGTCGGCGGTCAGGACTGGAAAGCTACGCCCTTAGCCCACGGGCGCTGCATCTTCTAGACAGCTCACGTGCGCGGAAACTTCGAGCTGTGAGGAGAGGTGCGGCGCGTCGCCTCGATGAGCAGGATGCCCATTATCCGAATTATCCTTTCACAACCCATCATGTGCTTCAAGAACTTGTGGGAAGATGAGACTGCTCAGAGCGCCTTCCAGTATTGCGACGTTCGTGCACTCGGAGCCTCCTTCTGGACCTCGCAACGGGCACCGTCAGGGACCGGCACGTTGGCCCCCCCCTGCCCTCGACGACCTCGCGCGACGAGGCGGAAGCGACGACGAAATCAATGGTGCGTTCGTATGTCAAATTTTCACTTGTGGGCTACGGTCTGGGACTCTCAAACAGTTGGTTACACGTCAGTCGAATTCTTGGGGGGCGGACGCGGTCTGCCATCGCTACTCGCAACATTACAGGCCGACAACACATACATGGTATGCCAGGCTACTTTCCCAAACCAAGATCATGCTACACGACATAAACGGCGTTCATGGATTGCTGGTAGGTGTATAGCGGAGCTCACACATCATGTATATCCATGGCACGTGGCTACACGCGCACTACAGTGTCTCCTTCGTGAATATGAACTCGATGCCGCCTGCCAGCGCGAATTTCAGGATTATTCTGAGTATCGGGCCCATCTTCTCTCGCGCATTCCGCCGTCGCCATCGGGGCCGATGCTCGAGCCGACTAGCAGGGCCGAGGCCCGCCCGACGAAGTCGGGCCCAGCACGGCCTCGAGCGGCCGCCTCGCTCAGACCTGCGCCTCGGCCACCTCGCGCGATCGAGGGCGCCCCGGCAGCCAGAGCAGCCCTCCGCCGAGCAGCGGGCCATGCTGGGCACGCGCGAAGCTCCTCGACAACGGCCGCGCGTCGCTCGACCACCGCGTCAGACAGCAGCGCCTCCGACAGCGACTCCAACAGCGGCTCCATCCTCCACCGCGGCGTGGACGCCCGCGCTGCCGGCACCGGCGTGGGCGCGCTGGCGGCAGCAGCGGCGCTGCCAGGGGGGGCTCCACCGCCGAGGCCGCGCCGCCAGCAGCCGAGCCGAAGCGCGCGAGCTGGCGCCTCCTCCTGGACTCCTCCAGGGGCACCATGGCATCTGACACCGCCTCCAGGAGCGACGAGGGGCCCCCCCCCCCGCGGCCGAGCCCCGCCTCCAGATGCCGCCGATGAAGCCAGGTCAGTCACCGAGAGCGCCAGTCGACGCGGCGGTCGAGGTCGACGAGGACGAGCAGGCAGCCAGGGGCGACGCGCGCAGGAAGCGCAGGGGCGGCCGCGGTGCGAAGGGGGGGGGGGGGGCGCGGCGACGAGGTCTGGAGCAGCAGAGACAAGAACCTGATGGCCTTGCTACGCGCCGCGCTCAAGCTGCTGCTCCAGACGACGCGCTGGGCGCGCCTCGACAGCAGCATCAACGTCGACGCGTGCGCGATGACGACGAAGCACCCGCTCGTGGACGGGATCTCCGCCGAGCTGGAGGGCTACGAGAAAATGCTCGACAAGCTCCACAGCGGAGACGCGGAGGACGAGCAGGAGCTCAAGGAGGTAGGGCCCCCAGCTCCAGCATTGGAGCTCGCCGCGCTGGAGAGCCTCCTGAAGTGCGACGTGGGCGGAGCACTCCATCAGGATGTCAGCGCCTACCTGGGGCAGGCCCAGCAGTTCGACGAGATGGCCGAAGTCGAAGTCACGAAGTACGAACTGCAGCAGCAGATGAGATTCATGCGGCTCGAGCGATGCTTCGACGCGGACAAGGCCAAGCTGACCGCGGGGGCCCCGGAGTGGCCGGGCCGCGAGCTAATCATGAAGGCGCTGGCCGCCGAGGGCGCGGCGCAGCACCACCGTGGGGCGGCGCCGGCGGGATGGCTCGAGGAAGAGGTGGCGCACTGGGTGGAGACGCTCGAGCAGTTGTTTTTGTTTGGGGGCCCCCGCCCCCTGCCGGCCGCCGCGGTGAACTGGTGCAACGCCAGCGCCCGCCCTCAGCAGACTCATAGCAGAAGCATGCCACAGGGCGCGCGCCGCCAGTCTGAGAGGACTCAGAGCAGGAGCGTGCCGACGGGCGCGCGCCGCCATTCTCAGCAGCTTCTGTCTTCGCTTCTAGGCCAGACGCCCCAGCAGCTGCCGTATCGGGGTCGGCAGGGCGCGCGCAGCCAGTCTCAGAAGACTCAGAGCTGGGGCATGCCGCAGGGCGCGCGCCGCCAGTCTCAGCTTTTTCTGTCTTCTTATCTGGGCCAGCAGACTCGGGGTCGGCAGGGCTGGCGCAGCCAGGCTCTGCCGACCCGGGGCCGCCCCGTCTCGAAGGGTCCAAAGGCCGACGCGATCAGTTCGATGCAGCAGCAGAAGACGAGGCCGCAGCTTTTTGGTTTAACGAATAAATGCCCCCTTCGGAACGTCTCGTGGCAGCGCGACGCAGCCCCCCTGTGCCAACGCCCGCGATATTTTGCCCCAAGAGCGGGGGACTAACGAGAGATTCGGCTCTCTGCGGCGGACCATATTGTTTCTTAAACGCTGTGGGGGCTCGTTTTTTCCTTATGCCGAGTTTAAAAAATCGTCATCGCCATCGCCCTCCTCCTCCTCCTTCTCCCCCATCCTCCTCCTCCTCCTCATCCTCCTCCTCATCCTCTTCGCCGTCCTCCTCATCATCCTTGTCCCCCTCCCCCTCCTCCTCCTCCTCCTCCTCCTCCTCCTCCTCCTCCTCCTCCTCCTCCTCCTCCTCCTCCCCTGCCCCCCGCCTCCTCCTTCTCCTCCTCCTCCTCCTTCTCGTCATCCTCCTCCTCCGCCTCCTAGTTACTCCTCCTCCTCCAGGGGCAGCGATCGGGGGGGGGATGCCTCGCCCCCCCCATCTCCCACTGATCGCCGACAAGGGGCCGATAGCCCCAGCCTGCGCAGGAACGTGCGGAGTCACTGTCGCGGGCCCATCGCCGATCTGTCGGCGACGCCCCCCGATTCCAGGTCGATGCGTCCCCCCCCCACGCCAGTCCCCCCTTTTCGTTGCCCTTCAAAACCGCGACTCAGGACTCGCGCATCGCGCCCCGCGAAACCTCACGATGCGCGAATTTAGGTGGCCTTTCCGGCGGCGCTGGTACAAGGGCAGGTCTGTTCCAGAGCTTTCAGGAGCGCTCTCAGAGCGTTCAAGAACGCGTTGAGAAGGCCGTGGCGCCCGAGACATCTTCCAGAGCCGCCAGATCCCAGACATTCTCGATTTATCCTCATCTGAGTTTGCCCTCATCCCGGTTTCGTCTTAAAAGTGGACAGAGAAGAAACATCTCGGATATGGCCAGGACCCCAGGGAAGGGGAGCCGGTTAGTGATTGGGTCTCCAAGCCAAACAAGCATTCGCCAGAATCGCTACAGCAAGTTCGTTTGCCTGCCGTCGGTGGTGTCATTCGGGCGACGGCAGTTCGGGACAATGGGATGGGGCGGGGGGGGGCGTCCCCCAATACACATCCGGTTAGCTTGAATCTGCGCTGGGTCCCCCTGGCAGCGCCTCCGCCGCCGCCCTTTGCGCGCGTCGCGCGCCAGGGGGGAGTCCAGGGCAGATCCAAGAAATTCGCGCAGACCGTCGAAAATTGATGTTCATGTCGTTTGATTTTTTCCCCTCGTCAATGATTGCAAAAGGCCAACAGCAGTTCCTGTTCATTCTGAACAGGATGCGCCGTCGGCGTCGCCGCGGACATCGTCTATTTGAGACAGGATGCCGCCTGTCCAGCAGCGGCCGCTGTCGGTTTTGGGCAGCATTAGCTGTTTGACATCGTACCCTGAGACCCTGGATGTTCGGAGGGAGAGTTACGGCAGTTTTTGGTGCAAGGGACGTTTCGCGCTCTCAGCGGAACGCTCCTCGGCCAAATTTTTGCGACGGCTTGCGTGCACCGGGATGGCGGCAACGAGCTCGCGGAGAGGCACAATTTTGCCCATCCGCCCTCCACCGGGCACGAAGTTGCGCCGACAAGTTCGAATGAACAAACTCCAACTGGCCCGGCAGCATTTGCTGTTGGGCATCGTTCCCGCTTTTTCGGTGCAAAAGGACCAGCTGGAGGTGGTGCTGGTCCGCCAGGGCTGCGAGGCGACCGCGTGCATCCCGGAGGGGAAAATCTGCGTTTAGGGGTTTGTGCTCACACAAGGGGGTCAGCCAATCCTCCTCTGGCTGACACCCCCTTAATTACCTCTAGGCCTCTTAGATGAGGTCCGAGCAGATGGGGTCGGAGGATCGCGTCGCATCGCCGATGCATCGGCGATGCGGCTCGATGCGAAGCCCCGATTTTCGCCGCGCCGGTGTCGCCGATGCACCTCCGACGTCGCCAGTGCATCGCCGGTGATGCGGCGCGATCCTCCGACCCGACCTACTCCGACCCCATCCGGGAGGCCTCAATTACTGCCTCTTGGCCCTCGTCTGGGGTTCGTGGGTTGGCCCGTCGCCTTCGGCCACTGGGTGCCTGGAGCCTCCGCCTGGGTGCTCGGGGCTCACGCAGTGGGGGATCGGCGCCGAGGGTGGGCAGCCAACCCCCGACTCTGGCTGACCCGATGTTGGGCGCCGGGCGAGGCCGAGTCTGTCTTTCCGCCCCCCGCTGACCCGGGCTTGTGGATCGCCGCGAAGCGGCTGGCCGGGCTCTGCGGCCAGGCCCTGGCCGGCTGCGGCCTGTGCCGACCCGGGTGGGTGCCTCCCCGACGGAGGAGGCAAAGGCACGGGCATGCCTCCTCGCTCTCCTGGGACATCGGCGCAGCCAAAGCTGCAGGGGCCCGAGGACACACACATATGAATAGACACAAATAACGGGGGTTCCCCATAGTTCCGCTTAATTAATCGCTTCGCTCATTCCGCCGGCCCATATTGTCGCACCGTTGTGGGCTAGCCGAGTTTTGGGGCCTCTTGGGGGCCGTTTTGGGGCCTCTTGGGGCCTCTTTTGGGCCTCTTGGGCGCCTCTTGGGGCGTCTTGGGGGCCTCTTGGGGGCCTCTTGGGGCCTTTTTGGGGCCTCCTGGGCGCCTTCTGGGGCGGAGGGCTCGATTTTTCAGTTCTCGGTTCCCCTCTTGAGCCCCTCTTGGGCCCGTCTTGGGGCCTCTTGGTCCGTCTTGGGCGGCACTTGGGCCGTCTTGGGGGCCCTCCTGGGCCGTTCCGGGGCCGTCTTGGGAGCCTCGTGGGCCGTCTTGGAGCGGTCTTGGGGGCCTCTTGGGCCGTCTTGGAGCGTCCGGAAGCCGAAAAAGCCAGAACGCAAAAAACATTGAAAAAAATGAAAATCAACGATTTTGGCCTCTTGGGGCCCTCTTCGGAGGCCTCTTGGAAGGCCCTTGGGGCGTCTTGGAGGCCTCTTGGGCTGTCTTGGGGCCCTGTTGGGCGTCTTCGGGCGATCTTTGGCCGTCTCGGGGCCCTCTTGGACCGTCTTGGAGGCTTCTTGGGGACCTCTTGGCCCGTCCTGGGGCCCTGTAACAGAACTCCGGCATCTCTGGCCCGACCTTGCCGGGACTTGCCGGGACCTTGCCGGGGACTTGCCGGGACCTTGCCGGGGTACTTTTCGTCTGGGGACCCCCAGGGGCCGCCCCGCGCGCGCGAACTAGAAATACTGTTAACCAGGTACCGGAGATCTTAGCACGCCCTGGCCCGTTGGGCCGGCGAATTTTCTGGTCTTTTTGCCCTCCACCCCACTTCCCATGTTTTCCTATTTTTTCTGGTGAATCGACGACGAATTGTGTCTGCCCTGCCTTGGTTCCTCGCTCTCCCGGGCCCGCGTGGAGGCGCTCGCCGCCACGGCCGGGCCTCTGCCTCGAGGCTCCGGTCCGAGCGCACCCCTGCATGGGAGAGCTCCGAAGAGCAGCGACATCCTCCTCCTCCCTCCCTCCTCCCTCCTCTTCCCTCCTCCTCCTCCTCCTCCTCCTCCTCCTCCTCCTCCTCCTCCCTGCTCCTCCTCCTCCCTGCTCCTCCCCTCCTTCCCTCCTCCTCCTCCTCCTCCTCCTCCTCCTCCCTCCTCCTCCTTCCTCCTCCTTCTCCTCCTCCTCCTCCTCCTCCTCCTCCTCGTACCTTCCTCCTCGTACCTTCCCCAGTGGGCGGGCCCCCCGCCGCCACGGCTGGATTCAGTGGGGGGCCACCTGCGAACATTACCCCTGCCTTCCATGATTTCTGAGGGGGAGGGTGGGGCAGGGTTAAGTCGGGCCTGTCCCCCTACAGCGGGATTTTCGACGAAAAATAACAAATACCCTCCAAAAAGCAAAACAAATTGTCCAACATTAGTCTGGGGACTATTTTTTGAGTATTTTTTGACCTTCTTGGGGCATTCCTGGGGTATTCTTATTTTTCGTCGAAAATCCCCCTCTGTAGGGGGACAGGCCCGACATACGAGTAGGGTTCGTGCTTGGCCCCCTATTCAGCGCTGGAGAGGACAGGCTCGGGGGGCATCGAACCGGTCTCCGACTGCCCATTCATCGCCGATGCGGCCCGATAGTCCCGTCTCGCCCAGGAGCGTGCGGGCTCGGCATCGGGCCAGTCGGCGATCCATCGGCGAGATGTCCCCGAGTCCAGGTCGGCGTTCCCTCCATCCCTGAGCCGGTCCCCCTCTTGTGCCCCCTCTCATGGATTCGTTGCGGAGTCCTTGTCGTGCGGCCAACCCGCATAGTGAGGAGGAGCGTTTTTCCTAAGGTTACCCCTGCGTCCTTCCCCTTCGGCCCATCCTCGGCCGCTTCTGCTGGCCGCGCCCCGCTGGCGGAGCGTCAGAGTGGCCCCGGCGCTCGGCTGCCCCGAGGTGCGGCCGTGTGGAGGCGCAGCACGCGCCGTGCTCACAAGACGTCCGCGTGGACGCGCTGCGCGTGTGGGCTCGGCACGCGTGGGCCCGCGCCTTGCCGAGCCTAGCGCGCGCCAGGCCTGGGCTTCTGGCCTGCGCGTGCCAGGCCTGCAGCTCCACGCCAGCACGCTGCGGCCTGCGCCTCGCAGATCGGGGCGGCTCGTGCGTGCTCGGTCTGCGGGTCGCCTGGGGCGCGCGCGCTCCTGGGGGGCGGCGCGCTCCTGGGGGGCGGCGCCAGGAGGGGGGCGGACGGGGCGGCGGCCTCCTCTGCAGAGCTCGTGGTGCCGCGAAGGCGGCATGGGGGCCCTCTCGGAGGCTGCCCCGGCTTCTGCGAGGCCCTCTCTCAGGAGGGCCTCGGGCCCAGCTGAGAATCGCCGGGGGGGGACCTCGTCCTGAGGGACCCGGGTCCCGAGGCTCTCGCCGTGGGTCGGGCTTTCGGGGCCTGTCTGAGAACCGCTCAGGAAGAAAGGCTCGTCCCGGGAGGAATGCCCCCACCGGGTCCAGGACCCGCTTCCCTCGGGGCCCGCTCCTCCCGTGCTGGGGGCAGGCCGTTGCCTCCACGCAGGCCCCGCGCCTTCCTCGAAGGCCGCCCCCTGTGCGCGCTTCCCCCCTGTCTGATAGGCCTGCTTTTGCACCACCACCACCACCACAAGTTGGAGGGGGAGCGGGTCCTCCTCCTCCTCCTCCTCCTCCTCCTCCTCCTCGTCCTCGTCCTCGTCCTCGGCCTTCTCCTCCTCCTCCTCCTCGTCCTCGTCCTCGTCATCCTCCTCCTCGTCCTCCTCCTCGTCCTCGTCCTCCTCCTCGTTATCGTCGTCCTCCTCCTCCTCCTCCTCCTCCTCCTCTTCCTCCTCCTCCTCCTCCTCCTCCTCCTCCTCCCCTCCACGTCACCTCTCCTCCTCCTCCTCCTCCTCTCCTCCTCCCCCCTCCAACTTCTGGTGGTGGTGGTGGCAACCAGGCCCACCACTGTGCGCGCCGCCGGCCCCCCGTCCTCCCGGCAGCAGGGGCCCGGGGGCTCCCGGGCCGAGGTCCCCGGGCGGCCGCTCGCGCCCCCGGGGCCTCTGGGAGGCTCCTCGTCGCCGCGGCTGCTCGCCTCCTGCTCCTCCTCCTGCTCCTGCTCCTGCTCCTCCTTCCTGCTC